AGGGTGTTCATTGTGAATTACTGATTACACTGTGCAGTATTCATTGTAAATAACTGATTACACTGTGCAGTATTCATTGTGAATTACTGATTACACTGTGCAGTATTCATTGTGAATTATTGATTACACTGTGCAGTATTCATTGTGAATTACCGATTGCACTGTGCAGTATTCATTGTGAATTATTGATTACACTGTGCAGTATTCAGTGTGAATTACCGATTACACTGTGCAGTATTCATTGTGAATTGCTGATGACACGTGCAGTACTCTTTGTGAACTACTAATCACTCTATAAAGTATTCAGTGTGAATTACTGATGACAATGTACTGTATTCAGTGTGCATTCTCTTCCAAAGTACAGCACATTTAATCACCATAGTTTTGCAGCTTCCTGCTGGTGAGTTTATGGACTCTAAATGGCTATATTTTTAACATGGCAACATTTCTCCTTTTTCAGTACAACAACGTCTTGTCTGAAATGGAAACTACCTACAGTGTTGCAAAAGTATGTCGCACAAATGGGACTTGTCACCCTTTGGATCCTGGTAAGTGACGGGCAGATATTTTATACCTTCACCCATTTAATGTGTTTAACAAATACCATTCAGTTGTTGCTATGTGAATGTACAACATCATTTGTACACTGCGATGTGAGTGTACGATGCTTTCAGCAAACAGCTTTTGCCACTAGCACTCAACATCATGTCTCATCAGCTTTCGTAGGTTTGCTGTGTGTTCTGAAAAGAAATATGAAAGAACTCATGTACTGGATCAAGCCAAGGAAATTACTCAGTTTTTTTTGTGTCCTGAGGACTTGGGTTGATTCTATCAGTTGTATACATCATTCTGAAGAACTGGCATTCTCCCATGTTCACAATACATTTGTCTGTGTTTAGCTTGATGCCAGCTTTGCTGGTTCTCTCCATAGCTTCATGCAGGTGGTGGTCATGATTTTTATGAGTGACACCATAGCCCCGGATATCATCAGCTATACAGAGTCTTTAGGAGGAGACAGGAGTTCCAAACTAGCCTTCACCGCGAAAAGACAGATGTCCAATTCCTGAGAGTTCTTTGCAGCAATGCCTGACTAGGAATTTAATTGTACCTATTGCCTTTATGTAATAAGCAAGATACTTAAGTAAGAGAATGTCTCTTATATTTAGACTCATGGGTGGTCTATCCTTTACCACTGATAATTAGACAGGACCCAGACACTGTAAAGACAAAAGAGGACTGGTGGCAGTGAACTATCTGAAATGACTGTAACTCTGTACTGCATACTGGCAGAAGTTATAGATACCCTCTGCTCCAATTTCAACCTTCAGTTTCAGATTCATAGAGTTTATTTCTTAAACTCATCCTGATCTAAATGATTGTGTGGAAGAATTTTTCCCTGGGAACTGTCACATCCAGCTAGGTGTCTGGTATGTTGTGTCCTTAAGCCAACCATCATGGTAGAGATGTTTTGGTTTCTTTTCTTTATCATTCACCTTGCTGCTCTGCCCTAATAACTCAATAACCATCCCCTCTCTGCACATCAATTCCCAGCGGCTGGACTTTCCACAAACTCTGCAGTTTGGTCCATGTACAGAATATCACCTTCTTGCTGTGAACTCATATGGCCACTCCTTCTCTCTGTCTGGTTTGCATTCTTTCCTTCTGTTTCACTGCATCAACTCTGCTATTTTTCCCTTCTCTTAATTGAAGGACCTTCACCTGTCTACTCATGGTCTTAAGTGCTCTGGTGGTATCTTTAATCTTCAATATTTCAAGTTTGTCCATTCCAGTTAATTTGTTATAACAAGGTGCAGAGCTGGATGAACACAACAGGCCAAGCAGCATCAGAGGAGCAGGAAAGCTGA